CATTTTGTTTAGATTCTGTAACTAAAGATTTGCATGAAATTACTGATTTATTCTGTAATGTCTTACTTATTGTTGGTAATATCCATTTTTTTTTTCTAAATAGGATGGAGGGGCATGCCATTGATTATCTTTCTCATTATATCCATCTTCATTCTCCTTGCTATCATCTGAATTAGGAGGTGTGTATTGGAGATATATTGGCTTAAGAGATGTAAAATATAATCGAGTATAATTAGATTGGACCGTAGGTTGATTGGGGAATTTGCCCTTGCTATGGCCTGTTTTTCCACAAATTTTACATTTCTTTATATACACTTTTTTCTGTAATTGGTCTGCTAACTGATTTATAGTATCTTGGGTTTCATTAAGCCCTTCTTCTATTCTATCTATTCTGACAGATTGGTTAGATCTTTGTGGTTTTTTATATAAGGCTTTTGCTTGCTCGAGGTATTTAAGGTAATCTGGATCTTGGGTAAGTGGATCCATATTATTACCTTCTTGATCTACTATGTAAAATGCTTGCCGAGGTTTTTCTGATTTTATAGGGTAAAACTTGGGTGGGGGTTGAAAATTTCCTACTGTTGCAACTTGTGGTTGTTGTGCTTGAAGTTCAGCCTTTAATTTTTCTATCTCAGCTTTAGATTCAGCTCGCTGTTTTGCAAATGCATCTTGAATCATTTTTTGCATATCAGCCATGGAGAATGCCGGTTGTTGAGGTATAACATCTGGAATAGCAGGAGCAATGGGTGCATAGCAAGGTTGAGATGGTGCCTGTTGTAATATTCCATGATGTAATTCAAGTTCTGCCAAACTATCAATAATATCGTTAATGGGTTTTGTTTGACCAATTCTATAAATTTCATCTCTAATATCAGGTTTAACTCCAGATAAGAAATGAGGTTTTTTCTGTGCTGAAGTATAACCGAGTTGATCGCCATATTTCTGAATTTTTGCCCAGAATGAAGGTACACTCTCATATACGCCTTGTCTTAATGCTCCAATTTCTAACATCTTTACATATTTATTAGCAGTTGGATAATGTTTTTTTATCCACCAAAGCCTTTGTCTAGATCGTATTCCTGCTAAAATAATAGGAACACCTTCTCCAGCATTTGGTGCAACTGGTACTGCATTAGTTGGGCGTCCTCCTGCTATTGTCCAATCTTCAGCAATATTTCGAGCAAGGATAATTTGTGCACCTGTAAGTCCAAGTGGAACATTTGGGAAAGAAGCGACTGCACCTGTTATACCTCCTGCATTAGCACTACAAATATGAGCTATTGTTGCACCTATACCAAAGTTATCAAGTACATTTTCTAACTCCCAATTTTTATTGTCAAATTTTCTATAATACTATTCTCTTGCTTCTCCTTTTAAGGATTGATCTAATATAGTGAGAATATTTGCATCATTATTTACTCCAGCCAAGGTAATATATGATATGAACCTATCTATGAAATCTTCATAATCTTCTTCACCACTAGGGAATTCTGGTTGTGCAAATCCTACAGGTAATGCTATCAGTTGATTTTGCTGATTATTTACTAATGCAAAATTTTGTAGCTGTAAATTTAAAATATTCTGATTTTGATTCAAAATTATTTGGTGTTTATCTTTAGACTTATTCTTCCATTTTTTATACCGATCATATAGTCGATTTTGCCAAAATTCATCAAGAGCTCTTTCATTTCGACAGTTCTGTATTTGTATACGCTTATCCTTAGTTTTATTCTTCCATTT